GCCCTCTGGCACTCCACTGTACTCCTGTGGGGAGGGGGAGATCCTGACCCCTCAACAGAGGCCTGAAGACTAGGGAGCCAGAAAGGCTCACAGTACTTAGAGAGTAAACAAAGCCAGCCACCAACTCAGCCACAGGCCCAGCTCCAGGGAGACCTACAACACTTCTAATACATCATAACCTCCACGGGCCCACCAAGCATAGAGGGAACCTGGGACATCCGAAGGCTACAAAGATCAACAGACACCTTCCAGAAGCATGGACTCAACGTGTTCCTAGAAGAGGCTGAACAACACAACTCACATCACAGCTGACTGTTACCAGCTGAGACGACAGACACAATTACACACAGTGGGGACTGGAAAAAATACCACAACTCAGAATACCATCCAGAACTGAAGATAACTGCACCATCATGTTTATTGCTGCTTTATCTACAATTGGAAAAACATGGAAGCAGCCCAAATGCCCAAAGTAGATGACTGGGTTAAAAAGAGGTGGTACATATATACAATGGAATATCACTCAGCAACCAAAAAAAAAAAGAAAGAAAGAAAAAAAGAAATACATGTCTTTTGTAGCAATGTGGATGAAGCTGGAATAGATCATGCTTAGTGAGATAAGCCAGAAAGAGAAAGAAAAGTACCAGATGGTTTCACTCATAGCAGGAGTATAATGGACCAGGTAAGAAAATAATAAGAATAATGAACAACCATATACAGAGACATTTTGTGGGGATGGAGTGGGGAATGGGATCAAAAACGGGGGAGGGAAGTGCACGGAACTATAGTGATGTCACGCGGGTGACTAGGTGATGGGAAATCCACAGGGATTACAATTGAGATGAAAAGAAAAAAAGATGTACAAAGTGATGTAAAAATAAAATATTATATAAAAAAAGAAATTACACTTACAGAAGCCACACAGTTATGAAACTATCAAAAATTCAAGACAGAGAAAGAACATTGAGGCAGCTATGGAAAGAAAACACATGCATGCATGTTTAAACACACAGACATAAAAGACACATACACACAACCTAGCTCATCAGTATTGCATCAGAATTTTCTGCAGAAACTATTAAGACAGGAGACAAAGTCATGACATCTCCCTGGTAGCATAAGGGGTTAAGTTACAGCACAATCAAGCTACCACCAGCCACTGTGGCCAATTAAACTTACAGCCAGAAGGTTAACCTACAAGGCTCATCAGACCTTTCCTGTCTCTTCTATCTGCTACTTCCCTCAGCAGTGCATTTCAGTCGATCTCCTTGTTCTGTTCCCCACTCTGGTGAATTCTCTCATCCCTCAAACCTCTGACCTACACCCAGTTCTTGTATACATAATAAATAAATACACAGCAATAAAAAGCAAAAACAAAAACTCCCAGCCAGGAACACTATATTCTGCAAGAACATCTTTTAGGTATCAGGTTTTCCAGAAAAACAACTTGAAGGAGTTTGAAAATTCTCAACCTACCTTAAGAAATGTTAAATGGAGTGCTCCTACTTAATTCAAGTAAATAAAAATTCACACACACACACACACACACAAAGATATGATGACAGTAGTAAATACAAAATAGCAACAGCAAGTACTTACAGATCAATAATCAGCTTAAATGTAAATGGACTGGAATGTCAATCAAAAGGAGTGAGAAAAAAAA